GGGCCGGCCATTGACCGTGCGGAGCGAGGGGGTTTAGCAGCGCTCTACGAGCGTGTGGTAGCAGCGGCCCTGCCCGCCCACGTTCCCGTGGCGTTCCGGGCTGAGTTACAGTGAGTGTTCACGTTCGTCCAGCTGCTTGTAATAGCAAAAGGAGTCATTCTGAGTCCTTCCAGGGGCGCCCTTTCCAAGGTTTCCCACCTTACTAAACGCCTAGGGACTGCCAAGAAGGTGGCAGCCGCAAGCAACAACGTGAATTTTTCTCCTTACTGAATACAAGGTGTTTCTCGCTCAGGTATAAGAGTAGCAGACAGTCGTACCTTGGTTTATGTGATGGTTTTCATTGCAGGGCTTTTAACGGATTGAGCGAAGGGCAGCCCTCCAAACACGGATGCAAATCGTGGTGCTGATCAAGCATCAGCCAGCACCTACAGCGATAACTCACAGCGGCTGGGGACGAGTAGCTTTTATGATGGTTTGTCCCTGGTTTCATCATTAAAGGCCATTTTAAAAATTATTGCGATCTCACTTTAAATATGTAAAGATGCTTGACTTCATGGGTAACTGGTTTTGAGAGCCGGTTATATTTAGCATGAATTAAGCATGCATGACCAAGTCCAGACTCAGTAAACTTCCGACAAAATTACTCTGTTAGTAGCTTCTATGTTGTTTGTGGGGTTTTTTTCCTGCAAGTAAATGTGTTTAGGATGATTTGTTAATTCCAAATAGCAGTATGATCACTGGAGTTTTCAGAATTGCCAGCCCTTCATTTAAATGAATGAATTCCCCTGAAAGTTAGAAATTAAGTTAGCATGTATAAAAAAAGCACCTTTTTTTACCAGTAGTCTTTGTTAGATTAATTTCAAGGTTTCTCTTTAAAATGCCCCCATCAGCTGTACCCCCACTGTTTTGATGTTGTCTTGCATCTAACTCCGTTCTTTTGGCAGTGGAGTGAACTGATGTCTATTTTTTTTTAGTCACTACATTTCCTTCACAACTCCAGTGGATTCTGAACACTTCCCTGTCTCTCAGGCTGTATGAGGATGTGAATATTTGTGAAATAAGCCGTTGGATGACTATTTTTTCAAAGCAATGGCTTCTCAAGAATTCACTGTAAGTGATTTTTTAAGACTGTACAATTCAGTAGAAATAAACTAGAAGACACTGTAGCTGCTCTATTTAAATGTTTTCTTACTTACTATTATTTCAACATTTTACACATTTCAAACAGGTCTTATACACTCACCAAAAAATGAAAAAGTCAAAAACATGGCAGGATGGAATTCTGAGCATTAGGACTGGTGGAAATAAGGTGAACAACTTTGATTTAATAACATTGGATTTAAATCTTCTGCTGCTGCTGGACTGTCAGTGGCAATGGTGCTGACCTGTGAAATGAAATCACTTATTTAAAATTGTATTTTTTTCATTGCAGGCTGTCTTGTTTGATGACAAAGGACAATGTTTGGAGAGTATTTTTATAAAATCTCAGGTGTGTTTTGTTTGGAGGTTTTTTATTTTTATGCTTGTTTGTCTTTCAGTAATCATTTCAAACTCATTTGGTAACCAAGGCAGTACTTTTTCCTTATTGTGGACGTGAAAGTCTGCTGCAATGCAAATAATGGAAAGCGAAAACAGCTTCTGTTTCTTGATAAATCTTACTGTTTTTCCAGAATCAAAGTAGAGGGTTTATGGAATTTTCTTCCTTTGGGGTAAAAGCGGTGTATTACAGTGATACATCAAAAAAGCGTAACTTTTAGTTAAGTGCTAATGCTTTCTAGTATATGTCTGTTTTAATCTAAGTATTTATACGACAGCTGTGATATACTGGGTGTAAATTTCTGAAATTTCTACATGGAAGTATTTAGAAGACTATTTATTTAGAAGACTTACTGTTTGTTGTATAGCACTGCTATATATGCTATACAGCACACTGCTGCTTTCTTTTTTCTAGGTGAATGCTGGAGATAATTTAGAAAGTGAACGTTATTTGATCACCGTGGAAGGAGTAAAAGAGAATGAAAAATCCTTTGAAGATCAGCAAAGGAAGGCAGAAGCTTCAGCAGTGGATAGAAATGGTGTAAAACCTGGTGTTCTGCCTCCAAGACATCCGCCCGTTGGCTTGAAAAGGAAGTTTACAGTATGTCTTTGTTCCAAAAGTTGTGTCTGATGTTAACATGCCTTTAAAACACAAAGAGCACATCTTTTAGTGAGTGGAAAATACATAGATGATGTCTTCCTGGTTTTTTTGGATCTGTAGTGTGTTACCGGTGGCTATTTTTTCCCCCGAGTTTAGCAGCTTTGTTTGATGTAGCAGGATTGCTCTTGCTAAGGTGCAGTGAAAATGGCGAGGGCTTGAGATTATTTCTATACGCCTGTGGAAGCGTCATGTGCCACTTGATCAGAATCTATTTTATGGACTCTGCCCTATTTTCAACACTTGATTACAGGATGTGAAGTTGATTTCTGAGTAGAATTAATTTGAAATTTCTCTCCTAGGGTTTCCAAGGGCCACGCCAAGTTGAAAAGAAAATACCAGCAATAGAAGATGGAGAAAACCCGACAAGACTGCCTTTATCGAAGCAGTGTCAGGGTGCTTTTCCATCCAAGTTTTATATTACCTCTCCATTATTTTCTACGATTTGCAAGCAGGATGCAGAAACAAATCTGTCTGCAGAGTTCCGTGAAGATGCGTGTACGGTTAACAATAGAGAACACATGTCTCTCTCCTCACTGCTTTCAGCTCCATTTCTTGACAGATGCGAGGAGACAGAGAAGCAAAACTCTGACGGGACCATAGTGAAGCCAGAATCTCCCTCAATTACTGGGCACGCCAAATCTAGTAGTCAGACAGCTGGTTGCGGGGCAGCGTCACGCATCAGGAGCACAGCACAGATAATAGCTCTCTTGAAGTCTAAACCAACACAAGGATGCAGAGAGCAGGCGACGTCTGAAGTCACGGAATGTCTTTCTAGGTTTCGGGCATCGGAAAACACGGATAGCTTACATAATAAAAAAAGCACAATCCTACCTGCTTATTCAGGCAACCCTGCCAAAAGACTCGTTCAAAATGTTCAGCACCCGCCTTTCACGAAGGGAACTGTAAATGATAAAAAGGAATGGAGTGCTAAAATGCTTCTGAATCCAGCTGAACAGCCTTCTGATGAAGTCGTCCCAAGACTGAGATGTGACGGGAGGGCAAATAATTTAAGTCAAGTTTTACAAGATACCTGCAATACAAATAGTTACTACCTACCTGAATCCACCATGAGTAGAATGAGTGACGGTCAGTATGTCCCATCCTCAGGTGATGTTTGGTGTTCAGTAAGTCCAGTCACCTTTGGAAAAAGTCTCTCTGGGTACAGGGAGCATTCAGGGAGTAACAGTCTTCAGGAGAATTCATCTGTGAAGTTGCAAAGTGAGCTTCAGCTGAGACAAAATTCGGAAAGAATGCCTGGTGACCTGGAACTCTCTGTGGACGTAAGGCTGACTGAAATTGGAATGGTAAAGGAGGAATTAAGTACGCATGGCAAAGACTGTGGTCCAGATGAACAGGTGATGGAGGTTAACTTTAATCTAATGGAGGCTTTTGATTTTAATGACACAGACAGTGAAGACCTGTGTGCAAGAGATGTGAATAAGTCCCCTGAAGGAGACACGCTTTCACAAAATCCAGGTTGCTTCAAGGGAGAAGATGTAGCACCAAATAGTGCCTTGATACTTCGTTCTTGCTGTGAAGTAGTGATGCACAGTAAGAACAAAGAAGTCAAATGTTTGACATCTGATGGAGAAAATGATGGAAATCTCTGCAGTGAGGATACAACATCTCAGCTTTGTGACAATGTCAGCGACACGAGGAGAATTGCAGGAGACTCTGTGAACCAGACCAGAATTGAAGTGGGACTTTTGGGCCATGGACACGAGGTGAAAGAGAATAATGAAAGTCAATTAAGTGTCGACGCCACAACCGATAAGAAGGATCTTGATGGCTGTGCAGCGTGTACCGTTAGTGGCGTGTCGTGGATAAAAAGCAAGCGCTCTGATCTTTTGCCTGGTGATGCAAATGTTAATGAATGTCACCCTAAAACCAGTA